TTTTTTTTTTTTTTTTTTTTTTTTTTTTTTTTTTTTTTTTTTTTTTTTTTTTTTTTTTTTTTTTTTTTTTTTTTTTTTTTTGTTATTTTCCTTTGGTTATTGAAATTTTGAGCATTAGTATTTTTTTTTTTTTTTTCATTATTTCAATGAAAAGTTTCGTTCCCCAAAAAAATAAATTACTCAAAGTGCAACAAAATTTTATCTCATGTTTAGCATATCAATTGTAATTGCATTCATTCTTACTGGTTTTGTACTTTATAATATTCGTACTTCTAGTGTTTGAGAATGACATTCTAGTCAAATTCCTTATGTTTATGCTTGTACTCATTTTTCTTGAATTTTTATTGCAAAAATGCATTTTCATGCAAATGTGCTGCAGGGATGGGGCAGATGATAGTCTCACTTTTGCTTTTCGTTTCACAGATGCTACAATATCTGTTCCTAACGAAGGTGGGTATGGATATTACTACCTGCAAAACATTAATTGCTTTTTCCTTAAACTGACAGATCATGTGGAATCAGTTTCAGCAATGATTCTTTGACGCCTATAAAAATTATTGAATTCCGTTTCTTTGGGAGTTTTTGATTGATTATGTTGCTGTCAGAATAGCTAGCTACAAACTTGTTCTTTGAAGTTTGATACCCTGGCTCAATTGCATCGTGTAGTCTGTGCAATAACTTCTATAGATAATCATGTAGTCTGTGTGTTTTCACTCCTTCCATTTCTCTACTCTTCAGCATGTCTGAATATTTCTTTTGTTTAATTATTATAAAGGTGTGGATCTCATTCGCCATGGATGGAGTAGGAAGGGCCCCAATGTATCACAAGAAGGCTATGGATCAGCAGCTGTCTTGCCTGAACTGGGTTTTTATTTGGCAGCAGCCGTATACCGGCCAGTTCTTCAGGTTTCTGATTGTTATTCATACGGACGATCAAATATGAATAAATAAGTCTAAATGGGTTTCTGTCCTGACATATTTTATGGTTTCTGCAGTTCACAGATAAGGTTGCTAAAATGCTTCCGGGAAAGTATTTGCAGCTCGGGTAAGTTTCGTAAGGTGGAAAATATAGTTGTTTGTTCATACCAAGTTGCTACTTTAAAAGAATCTCCGCTTGAGATGGCTAATGATTCATTGCATGGTTACTTTCTTTGTTTACTCTTAATGGATGACGTATGAAGGAGAGCTTGGCATGGTTAAAAGATGACATGCTTTGATGATCAGGACAAGTTACATTGTTTGAGGAATATTCCCTGTATCTAAAAATCATTTATCATTGCATGATACTGCTTTATGTTTTAGGATTCATTGAGTTAAGAGTATGTTTTTGTAAGATATGTTTTCAAAAACTGTGTTCGGATTCTATAATCCGAAGAGTGAAATTTCTGAAAATGACATTTTTATTTTTTCATTGTATCCAATTTTTGAATTTGAAATTTTAAAATGCATATTTATATTAAATAAATATAAAAAATTAATAAATACAGAAGTTTGGGCTATAAGCTTAATTTGTTTGTGTTAAATTAAAATATGTATAATATAATATATTATTAATTATATGATATTATAAAATAACAATCATGCAAAATTTATTAAAAAAATTATAAATTAATTGATAATGATATATAATCAACCTAATATTTAGTTTTGCAACTACAACTAGTTTCATGGTCTATAAATATATTATAGAATACATTTTGAACAAATGTTTAAATTTGAAATGTGAAATACAACTTTGTTTTCATTCAACCTATTGTTTTAAAAAAAAAAGAAAAAAAATCAGATTGCCTACCAAGCAAGCCCTTAGTATTTAAGGCTAGCTTTTTGTTCATCTAAATACATTATCTTCAGATCCCTTTATTATCTTTTATTCTGCATTACTATTGATTTTTTTAAAAATTTTGTTCCTGAAATTACAGGAATGATGGATTGCTTGCTTTTATGGACAATTTTGTGAAGGACCACTTTTTGCCGACTATGTTTGTAGACTACCGAAAAAGTATACAACAAGCTATTTCAAGCAAGTTCTCTTATCTCTTAGCTTCTCCTTCTAAAAACTACCGTTGGATTGGAACTTCAATTAAATTTTAAGAAATTTGTTTGAGATTATTCGTCAATAATTCCCAAATTTAAGTGGAACGAGTTTTGTGGACATGTATTAGTTTTTTCATACTATACGTGAGATGTAAAGAATTCAAGTCTCACGTTTTTTTCCTGGTGAAATTAAAAGATTTCAGTAGGAAGTACTAAAATGCTTGCTGAGCACCACCGGCCACCAATGACGTTGGTTAATGAGGATGAAAGTTCAGGAGTTCTATTTGTGTCGAGAAAAACAGGACAACCACCCCAAAAACAGTATAAAACCTAAAAAAGTTCACCCATTTGTTTATAAATTTTTAAAAAGAAGAATATTATTGTCGCAAGCATAAACTGAGGTATAGTGTGAAGTGTTGTAGAGTTTCGTCCACACAATTTCTGTTTACTGCAGGTTGGGAGTAAATATGGAGATCCTATGAGATTATGGTTACAACAAACTGAATTCTGCCAACCATGAAAAGTATCCTGGAAAAGCAGTTCTCTAGTTTTCCAATTGTTCGCATGAGATTTCTCCATCAACCCTTTTAATTAATTCGGCATAACAGTATAGGAAATGGGTATCTATTAGGCATACAAAGAAGAGATCAAATAGAGTTGCCAGTGTGTAACTCTGTAAAAGAAGGAAGAATCTTGCCTGTATTTTCAGTTTAAAACTGGGCCGGAGACTTGTCGGCTGTTTTTACTCTTTGACATTTCTGGTGAACTATATTTCTAAATTCAAGACCCCTTTATAGGTCCTGCTGCATTTCGACCAAGAGCTCAGGCCTCTGCAATTTATAATTCATCTGTTGAGAGGGGTCGTCCAGTCTTACAAGGACTATTAGCTATTGATTTCCTTGAACGAGAGGCAAGTCCATATTTCTCCAAGGGAGATGTTGACTTCCCTCCTTTGAAATATTATTTCACCTTTTTGTAGTTTGATATATTTCGCAGATGTTTGGCCTTCAAAATTTCTGATTTGGACTTACCAAATTGTTGTAGGTTATTGATTGGGCTCAAGCCATGCCCAAATTTTCTGGCGAACTTGTGAAGTATGTGCAAACTTTCCTCGAGCGAACATATGAAAGGTGTCGAACATCGTATATGGAGGCATGTGTTTTTGTTCCTTGTCTGCTCTTTTTTCCTCAAGGTCTCCGGTTGTCTCCAGCTTATTGGTCTATTCTCTATTGACGAACTTTCTTCACCCCCCACCCCCCTGTTTCCTTCCTCTTGAGGATTTTGGCCTAAGTCTGGTTCTATTTTTTCTATTTTAACCGCACTAATCTGGTTAAAATATAAATCCCTGTTGAAGTGATACTACAATTACACTGTACCATGCTTGTTTTTTCAAGTCATCTTGTATCACTCAAGAATTGTTGTTATAATTCCAGGCAGTTCTTGAAAAACAGAGTTATATGCTTATTGGGAGACACGATATTGAGAAATTACTGCGAATTGATCCAGCTAGTGCTTGTTTATCAAATGTTGGTAGCCAGTCTAACCTGGAAAATAATTCTTCTGATGCTGAAACTTTCGAGATCGAATTAGAGCTCTGCAATTTATTATTGAACTTACCCTCAATTAAGCAGGTTTGGATATAATATGCTCGTTATCACAACTAAGTACATTTGGGTTCAGCCTTTGAAATTTGAAGTTGATATAGCCTGCTACTTTCCCTTCTAGAGACAACATAAAATTAGCATGAAACTTACATCTTTGATTTACTATTCTCATTTAGGAGTATCTAATACGTGATGATCACAAACTAATTTTGCTGGCGTCACTTAGCGACTCATTGGAATTTGTTGCTGACTCTATCGACGAGTAAGTTCCTTCATTTGATTTGATTTTCTTTTTTCTTGTTTCGGTTTTTCTTTGGGTAGACTTAAATTGAGTGTCAGATTTCACAGACCTGAGTGACTTGTATACTTTATCGTCTATGCTTGTTTTGTTGCAATCTCTGAGGTTAACATAATCATTGGTACTTACGCATCAGGGGTTTTTAGGAGAACCTTCGATTACACATTTCAATTTCAATTTTTTGCTTGGTATAATTTATTTCTTGAGTGATACCTTTAAGAAAGTAGAAGTACAAAACATTAAAGTTCTGGTATTGATTTGGGATAATGAGCGAAAGAGTGTAAAGCATTGGATTCTTAGGGATGAAATTTGTAAGATTTAAGTTCTACAAAAATCTTCGTCAATGGTGCTGAAGTTCCAACACCCACTTTGCAATGCTGTTCGAAGACGTCTAAGATTTCTAGTTAGCAAGTGCCCTATTAATAACTGAATAGAACAAATTATTTTAAAATAAAAGGCTAACCTACTTAAAACCTCCCCTTCGCAAGAAACAACCCATCTTCAGAGTTATAATATTCTTAGAGATCTGCAACATCTGCGACAATGAATGTAGGATTGATTTTAAAGTTATGTAGAAGCCGTGTAACATTTGCCCAATTTTGTTTAATATCTTTTACGGTCCAACACCTTTATTTTTAACTTATTTTATGTTCCAGCGACTTATTTAAGTGAATCATGGCCAAGTCTCCTTCAGCAAAGACCCTCTGGAGAGAGTGAGATAACCCTGGAGGAGAGTCAAGTACCTCAAGTGAATTTGATCAAGCATGTCTTGACGGAGGTCTTCGATGGGGATGTTGGGGTGAAATCAGAGGGAGGCTTAAATAATAGACAGGGGCCATAAATGGCCTTGTTATCCCGAGGTTCTTTTTATGAGAATCCTAAGTTGGATACCTTAGGGCCTGCCACAGAGGGAACGACTTTCTTTGAACATTATCTCTTTTTATGAGTTATATAAAGATTGGGAAAGAGTTTTCCAATTGGCTTTGCTTATGTGGTGATGGGATGTTTTACTCGGTGTACTTTCATGCCACAAGGGTTGTGAGAACCTTGTGAGGGACTAGTTATGAATTGTGTCCTAAAGGAAGAGGTGAGGAGAGTTGAGATGAGTGGTTATTCCTCACTAGTCTACATTACGAACCATATAGGTGCGTAAGGCTGTCTAAGAGGGTCTCACCAATAAGTTTTGCTAGGCCATTGTGTTCGGCTAAGTAGGCTTGTGACACAATGTATGCTTGAGTGTTCTCTCTCTTGAAAAGTGTTAATTGTCTATTACTTATTGTTCGAGATTACAGATAAACATTTTAAAGAGTTTGGAGTTTTGAGGCTTTCGTTACTTTTTGTATGGGATTATACAATTCTTTAATTTCTATTTTAACCAGATTAGTGTGTTTCATATAAAAAATGGAAATTTGATGGAAGTTTCCTACTTGAAATGTGGCTCCACATTTTTAGGTTGAAATATTTTTTGTGGTTTTTTTAAATAGAATTTCATAACCATATGCAGTATCTGAAATGGACAATTTTTTGTCTGCAAACAGGTTAGAACAAACAACTTTAAAACCTTCATATCAGGCAAAAGCTAATAGCAGGCCTCATCATACCCGAACAGACAGTGCATTTACTCGGGATCTGCCATCATTTGCGGAGGAGTATAGAAAATTATCTATTGACTGTCTCAAGGTCTTGCGTATTGAGATGCAACTTGAGACGCTGTTCCATTTACAGGTTGGAAATTTGTGAATTGCCGATGATTGTGGAGCTTTCTTGATAGGTATGCAAACAAATTTCTAATAGTAGTATTGAAACAGGAAATGACGACTAGGGAATATATGGAGAACCAAGATGCAGAAGAGCCAGATGGCTTCATTATCTCCCTCACTGCGCAGGTAAGTTCACTTGATTATGGCCTAAGTAATAATCATATTGATTTCCTAGTGCAAGATGATTCTTTATAGGATAAGTAAATGTCAGTTCAAATTGAACTGATTATGTAATTTCATTAGAAAAATTACTGAAGCTCTTTGGTCAATACTGATTAAACGCTTGGCTCATTTAACAGAATATCTTTTCTTGATGCTCTCGCCCTTCGGCATAGCTGTATATGATGAAAATAATGACCACTATCTGTAATTGACAGTAGCAGATTCTAGAACTTTCTTAATTCAACGGGGATAATTTTAAAAAATGAACTTTTGAGCAAAGTATTGGATTATATATTCACAAATACTCCCTGAACCCCAATTCACAAATATATATTGTATTTATTGAGGGTGAGAATGCGAGGGAAAACCTAAATTCTCTTCCTGTTGTGGTCATTAAAACAGATGTGATAAATCTTCTTTTTTCCCCTTCATTTTTATTTTTGGAATACCTGAAGATAAGTAGGTGATATTATTTAGATTTATGGGTATGTAATTTTATTTTTTGTAGCCATTTCGTATGATAGGAGAAATCCCCTTGGAGCTTTGCCATGTTCATTTTGCTGGAACCTTATATTGATTCCTGGATATCAAAAAATTCACAAATCAAAGGGATTTTTTTTACATACCAATGAGACTGCTTTATTTTTTCAGGATGCCCATGCTGTCAGAATTAACTTTTAGAATTTTAGCCTTCGAATGTCAAACAAATCTCTGCTGTTGAATATATGAAGAGAAAATCCGTAATATATTTTGACACATTTGTTCCTTGCTATCTAGTTTTATTTGTAGTGTTCAAAAAATTTATACCATGTTCTGAAAGTATCTTCACTAGGGGGATCTACTCATGTAAAAAAGATCTCACATATTTTCTTTACCTATAGATAACTCGTAGAGACGAGGAAATGGCACCTTTTATTTCAGGACTGAAGCGAAATTACATATTTGGTGGAATCAGTAGTATGGCAGCAAATTCATTTATTAAGGTTCATATTTTCAATGTGTTTTCATACCTTCAGATTCTTTTGGAGTTCTCATTAAGCTAACTTCATTGATCTTAGCTTTTATTTGAATTTCCTCGGTCCATCTCACTGATAAGAATGTATGTTTAGGCGGTTGCTGACATGAAATCTATCAATCTTTTTGGCGTTCAGCAGATAAGTCGGAATTCAATTGCACTAGAACAGGTACATCAAATACATTGCCTCTATTCTGGAATGAGTGAAATAGCCTAAAATTTTTTATGTTTGGAGTGCAATGACACTCTAATTCATTTTTGGCAATGGTTTGACTCACTTAGGAAAAGATGGGGCATCTAATCTCAATCAACACGACATTGCATTAATCACAGCTAAATAAGCTGAAAATTGCAATGTCCTTTAAATATTTAGTGTCTCTAATTGATGCATAAACTTATTTGGTGTTATGAAGTTTCGTTTCTACTCGAAAATTTCCCAGTTAACTTTTCTTTAAAATGAACCAAAGTATGAGGATTTTGTGCAACCTTTGGTTATAAATGGCGAGTTACGCACCTGCATTGGTGCCTTCAATTGAAAAACGATCTGTATTTGGGTTATAATCGGCTCATCTCGAAGCCATGGGTAGAACCTATGTGACAGACTTACAATTACACATCTTGTTTTATAATTTACAGGCATTGGGAGCAATTCCTTCAGTTAATAGTGACCTAGTACAACAGCGATTAAAGCGCGTGCGTACTTACTATGAACTATTGAACATGCCATTTGAGGTAAATTGTTAAAGTTAGCTATTAAAATCTATTGTTTTAGCTTTTAAAAATGTTCTATAGGCCCCATGACAAACAATTTTTCCTGCAGGCGTTGCTTGCCTTTATCATGGAGCATGAGCACTTGTTTACACTAGCAGAGTGTGTTAACAGTCCACATTCTTCTTTATTAGGATGTTCTTCTGAAACTGTTAATCCTAATCAATATCAATGTATGTTCTTTTTGACAGGTATATCAATCTTCTCAAGGTCCATGTTCCAGGAAGGGAGATTCCTCCCGATGCACAAGATCGCATATACGAGATCTTATCCCGTTAAGCTTTCAGCCAATCGTGTGTCCAACGCCTTCGTAAATGCTTTTGATGGTACGCCAATTTGCAGGGATTTTAGTTCAAAATGTCAACATATTGGAGGTTGAAGTGAATGCAACCTTGATGATTCTTCCCCCTTCAATGGAGGTTGCTATCCCATGATTCCATGATATGCAGTAAATTTCATCACTTCATTTGTGGTGGTGTTCTAATTTCTTATGTAGAATCAATTTTGATTCATTTTTTCATTGCACTTCGGTAGCTTCATTTCAGTTTGGTGATTATTATTATATTTTTTTTTTTATGTACATGTGATTTTGAAACATCTTATATAAAATTATATTAATTTTTTCTTTTTAAATTTCTTCTGATTCTTGGATTCTGATGCAAGAAAACTAGTCTTTCTTTTGGATTCTGTTCTTGAGCAGCTCCAGTTTATAACCTTTCCAATGGAAAAGCTTTAAATTTTAGTATTAAATTTAACACAAATCATGACTGAAAGAATAGGCAAAAAGGATGGAAGAGAATTTCTTTTGTGAATTATCTTCAAAGTTGATTTTAAAATATTAATTTACAATACCCAAGTAGATATGTTTTAAACCATTTTTTAACATCAAGTTCAGCTTCTAGACTGTCTCATTGAACCTACAAAAGATAAAAAAAATAAAATAAAATAAAATAAAAATAAAAACTGTGGTACTTTGATGAAATTGAGAGTTTAGGATAAAACAACAATATCACCTTTTAAAGATTAGGACTAAAAGATTATTAAACTGTTCTATCGAACTTCATCCTTGCAGAAATATGTGATGCCCTGCTAAAACTCGGGATCATTGCTCGAGGTACAAGCAAGAATTTATGATGTTTCAAAACAGATTGCAAGTTCTCAAAGCTGTACATCTTGCTACCATGCATTACCTAAGCTTGAAATGTGGAATTCAGCCTCAGCATCTTCCTCGCTAAGTTGCGGATATCCTCTCTATAAGATTCTTGTGATATTCGCTCCAACAACTCTTTCACCCCTCCGCAGGCTACAAAATCAGCTGCATTGTCCACTGCATGTACGCATAGTTCGTTAGTTATGGAAAGATTGCAAAAACTCCATTATAAGAACATATAATACACTTGATCTTGGCCAAAAGGCTGAGAAAGGTATTTGTAAGTACATCGTGGCATAAGAGTTTAGAGTTCATATTGGATTTCACTAAGTTAAGCAAAGATCAACTGTTTGAATTCAATCAAATTTCAAAACAAGTGCCGTAATGAACTAAGAACCAATAGAAAGAACCAAATGCATGAAAGATGATCTGTTGTTGAACTAAGGTGTGCTCATCAAAAGTTGATGACAGTACAAGGTCAGTATGATATTTATGGAAAGTAATTCTAAGACAAACTCTATGGCCTTGCTTTCCTATTTTGATAGCTGCAACACTATTTTATAAATCAAACTAGGATAGATCAGTAGTAGATCCCTTTGGCCATAGTGTTAAACGGCCAGACTAACCAATAGCGTAATTTCAGTGGTTAAGAATCTAAAAATGCAAGTTTTTAACCACACCAAGCTTACCATTTTGGGCTAAATGACACAGGGCAAGCTCAATATGGCGTCGAGCTGATGCAGAATTAGTATGAGAATTGTTGATTAACCATGGAAGAGCACCATCCTCCATTAGCAGAGAACGGCCTTTCTTGCGTCCTGCAGGAAGGGAAAGTTGTTACATTTGTGAAGGCAGATGTAGTTTCTGTACGATACAAATAACGTCGGCAAAAACATATAGTAAACCTTGAACAATTGCCCTCGATTCACACTTCGCAAAATTTGCCATTCCCCTTGCAACTTGTGCAATAACATCACTATTTCCGGATGTAGCCATTTCCAGAAGAGCCCTAATACCTCCATCATCCTTAAGCATCTTGTGCAACTTTTCTGTTCAGAGAAAATTTAAGATAAAAACTTCACGGAAGAAAAGTGGACTATAGTATCATCATGACAACCCATGCATAGACCATTTTTTTTTTCAGTTATATGATGATATATCTGTCGAAATAAAACAAGATAATTAAATTCAGACTTCAAAACATTTCCAAATATGACTTTCCATTCTAAAAGTTGGACAGCGTGGAGCATTGTCACCTCAAACTTACCATTTCCACATAAATTAGCAAGGGCACCAGCAACCATGCGAAGAGTTTGGGGATCATCTGATCTGGATGCTGTTCTTGCCAGCAACTGGGCGCCCCCTTTGCTCATTATTACGCCTTGATTCCTCTCTGAGTAAAGTCCCCAACGCCAAAAGTTGAGAAGTGTTAGATACATACATGAATGACTTGGTTTAAATAATACAATAGAAAATGGCTACATTGATGTATGAAGATAAATAGGAATGTCATTACGTCGGCGATAACTTTGTTTACTTGAAAGAAAAGAAAAAAGGACTGAACACTTCTATAAGTCTTTTGTCAGGTCACAAGGGGGATGAAAAGGAAGCCAACGGGATTACAAAAAATCCTTCCAATTGACATTAATCAAAAGAAGATAGTAATATTAAAAAATAATGGAAGCTATAAAATCAACAGAACATGCAGCAAATGAATTGGAATGAACGGTATATAAATTTGCAATATCCTGGAAAGGACATCGCCTGCTGTGTGATAAATGGATGTAAAGAATTTGTGACGTATAAATCAGATAAGCATCCTGCGCATCTCACATAATTCAAAGCCTATGTAGCAGATAAACTTTTCTATTTGCAAAACTCAAACGTCATTAGACTTTGGCCAAGCCAGAAACAGCATTACACTGAACAAGACTTCGGATTACCATTCATTGCTAAATTGGCGATAGCTCCAGACGCCACTCTGAAAATTGTCAGATTTTTTGATGACTGCAGTAGCATAAGCAAAGCATCCAAACCACCTTCATCTACGATTTTTTCCTGATTCGAATCTGAAATTCATGAAGATTATCAGGTTATAATCCATAGATCCTCAACTTTCAGTGCATTAGCAAAGAGAGCGAAAAGACCATCCATTGAGGGATAAAAACATTCCCTAGAAAAGAAATTTTGACAACCATATGGACAGAATCAATAATACAGAAATTACGGGGAGATGTACACCTTCAGCAGCAAGATTGGCGACCACCTTCACAGCATGGACTTGGACATCAGTGTCTTCGGAAGTCAACAATTGTAAAATCTTTTGAAGACCAACTGGATATCGAAGCCAATGATCATTCATCAGGACGGTTTACAAATTCAATTCAGACTAAAAGAAAAAGATCTCTGAATCTTGTACAAGTTCATAGCATTTTTTTTTTTTAATCCAAATTCAAGTCTCTACTAACAGTCATCTTACCTTCTTCACATATTTTTGCAATTGTTTCACGTTGACTAGAATTAGTCTCTTTCAATTGACCCGTCTCGTGAAAACCCATGGGAGTTCCCAAGCTGGAGGGTTGTCTATGTATATTATCCCTCATATACGATTTCTGATCCTGCGATCATTGAATCAGAACAGAGGAACACAAAATGCTAGAACGATTGAGATAAAGGGGAAGTGTATGACAAAATTTACCTCAAAATCATTACCACTCACGGGTACAGTCCGTTGTATTTGAACCAATTCATTTTCAATAGTCTTTCTCTGCTTCTCTTCAAGTAGAAGTTTTTGCCTCGTGATATAAAGTTCTTCCTTCAGTTTCTCCTACAAGAACGTGGTTTTTTAAACTCATCGTCCATTAGCAATAATTTGCTACAAATTATCTTTTTTTTTTTTTTTACAAGAAATGAGACTCTTCATTGAAGAAATGAAAAGAGACCAATTTGCAACAAACAAAATGATAGCATACCTTCTCTTCTGCTAGATGTTTATGCTCCGATTTCAAGGATTGAAATTCAGTGAGAGTATTTTCATGCGATTGACATGGTTTTAACTTTTCCTTCAGTTCTTCGATCTCTTTCTGCTCATAAATCCAACAAAATAAGTGAGTAGGATAATAATAAAGGCAAGAAGAATTTGATATCAATTATATCATTTCGCCTAGTCTCTGACTAGTAACAATTGAAAATAAAATAAAACCTAACATACTTAGGCTCATCCAAAACCAAGTAATGCAGAATGGTAAAAGAGGCCACAACCGAATTGGTCTTTGGCACTACTTTCTCCCTATGAAAGTTGCCAACTATCATTACACGCCGTAAGATAATGAGCAGGTCACTTTAAATTGGATTGATGACATGCAAATGAAGCAGGATGTTCGTTCTTGTGCTAGTTACAGATTAAAAATCATGCTTTATATGAGATGTCAATTCATCAGAGGGAGAAAGAGGTGGAGTTGAAATTTTTTTAAACTTGTACTAGTTAGCATCTCAGTACATCTTACACAAAAGTTAACCTGTATAGAATTTTGATGATCACTGGGGCAACTCTTTGCCAAGCGTAGCTGTTCTTCTATAGCTTCAAAATGGGCATTCTTATCCTCTAATTGTTTCGTCAACTCTGCCATTTTCTTCTCGTATCTCTGAGTGGTTTCCGCAAGCGCCATCTTATACGCTGAATTATCTGTTTCATGTTGCTATTCACAGATAAGAAGAATAAGAAATCTACTGGGCACTAGTACCAATGAATTAAAAATGGCAAAAACCAACCTTTTAAATTAACCCTTTCAATGTTCAATCACTGAAGACAACTACAGTCTCAATAAAGGGAGAAAGGAGATAGGAGTAAAGAAGACGACAATCAAGAATAAATGTAGTAAAGCAACTGCAAGCAGTCAAATAATTTCATGTGCATGACAACTCCTTTTTAAATAAAAAAAGACATCATAACTAGTTGAGGCAACATATTTTCCATTCTCAATTGAAAAATAGGATTTCAAAAACATTTCTAAATACTCGAAGAAAACCAAAAAGAAACAAGACTCGAACAAATTGATCAAAACACAATCACGAAAATGCCTAAACTTGCAACCAAAAAACCTTGCGACCAAAAGCAACAACATACAAAACTAGCTGTGGTATTTGGCACCCATTCCAAATTCAGGATAATATGACATTATTCAATATCCTAGATGGTGAAATAGCAACGACGAAGATATAGCTAAAGACAGTAAAGAAAAGGAAAGTCTGCCACCACAAACTAGCCGATAAATTTTCTTACCTGAATCAACTTTTTGTGATCACATAAGATCTTCTTCATAACTTCGAACTCTTCCTTGGCACTTGCAAAGCGAGCATGCTCAACTTCCAGCTGTTTCTTCAAGTCTGCTATA